GTAAGACACGTGTAATTTGGTTAGATTATAATAATACAATACACATTCCGAAAAAAATATCCAGAATATGACGTAGACCCCGTATAAAAACAATGTCGCGCAGCTGTTTCCCGAGATGAGACTCTGCCCTTCAACTTAGCCTCGTTTGAGATTCTCACTGCCCTGCGGCAGAGAGTTTGACCAGGACAGCTGGAGACGAATCTCCAACTGCAGGTTATCTACCAACCGTCTCCTGCAGTCAGATGTGGCAGAAGTCTTAATTTAATGTGGGGTATCCGAACCCGTAGGCTCGGCCCAAAATTACCCGTAGAAAACGGGATCGGGTAGCTGTTTGTCGAGACGAGACGAGACTCTACCCTTCGACATAACCTCGTCTGGGTATCCTCTCTGGGCGGAGACAGAGAGTTTGACCAGTACAGCTGGAGACGAATCTACAATTGCATACCAACATACAGCATTTACTACTGTGTATATGTGAATGGGGACATAACCATTATCGTATGTAGGTATGTTACAACACTTACTATATTTATACTCCTATGAAATGGATCATTATTATATCTATTATTATTAATAACAACCAATATACTACAATTAATATTCTTATCATCATTATTGTTTCAGTTATTCATATTACTGCAATTCTTTATTATCATTATCATTATTATTATTTTTATTTTCTTTGATTTCTGGCGTTTACACATTTCTTTCCGGGTCCCGCCCAGGGACCTAAGGTTAGAAATGGCGTCATGACACTCTCCACTGACAGAAAAAAAAAGAATTAAATTACATAGATAAAGCCCTTCGTAAGGTGTGGGCTGTACTTGTTAGAACAATTTTTTGTATCTCCTTGAGGCATGGACTTCTTCAATTAGTCTACTGCAATCTGTTCCAACCAGTCCTAGGGCTTCAACTACAACAGGGATTGTTGATGTTCCCATATGCCACATTTTCGAGATTTCTATTTCAAGGTCATGTACTTTGATTTCAAGATAGTGAAAAACGTCGACAAAATAACACTGGTGTACAATTACAGGAAGCCCTCAAGACACCCAGATCAGTGAGTATATACATGTAGAATCTTATAGCCAAAATGCGATTTGCAGGTCAGGGACACTAAAATCAAGCATGTACGGAAGTTTGAATATCTGGGAAGTGTTTTCACGGAGGACGGTATGTGCGACGCTGAGATCCCAATACGAATTGGGATGGACAAGGATGCACTCCAAAAGCTGGGCAGAGTACTGCGTGGCAGGAGGATCTCTTTGGTGACAAAGAAAAGAGTACTGAGTAACTACGTGACATCTATCCTCCTATACGGCAGCGAATGTTGGACGGTCTCCTCAAAGAGACTCGAGGCAGCGGAAATGTTGTTCTACAGAATTATGCTAAAGATCTCATGGAGCGAGTGTCTGAGCAACGATGAGGTCTTGGAGAGGATCCAAACAAGGAGGAAGCTTATACTTAACATCAGGAAGAGGCAGATGAAATTTCTGGGACACGTAATGAGAAAGAACGGCTTGGAGAATCTGATACTCACAGGTCGAATAGGGAGAAAAAGAGACAAGTGAAAGTAACGCGTGACATACTTGGCGGGATTAAGCAAGTGGATACAGACCGTGGTCTGGGGGAGTTGGCAGAAGCATTAGACTTATTGAGAGCCACAAGGGATGGTGGTGAGCCATGATCGCCTACACCCTGAAAGGACACGGCCCATAAAAAGAAAGAAAAGAAATTCAGTGCATAATTTAGTAAGCGGGGCCCAGTTAGAAATAACTTCAGACTGAGTAAATCAATTTACGGAAAAGGGCTCCGGTTGAGGGCGTTCCAAATACGTAAATGTGACTCCCAATTTGCATTTTCTGCATCTTTCTTAAAACTAAAAATAAATCTAACCATCACGACAGACGGTCATACTGCTCCTCACTATTCCTGTTCATTAACAGAGATACACAGTGCCTCAGCACTTAGGTAACATGCCTAACTTGTTAAGGTCAAGCAAATGACATGCATATCTGTGGTACTGAACGGGACATTTATACTAGATCATCATAAGTATTTAAAACGAAATATGAAAATATGTAGAGAAAAAGAACAAGGACGCTAAGTTAAGGTGGTGGGAAAGAGATGCCTGGTCAGGACTAATAACATTGCAGATATTTTGGGTTTCATCATGAATATTTAAATATACAGCGGGAACACCGGACCAGATCAAGCAACAATATTGAAAGCAAAGACGAATGGTAGATTTATAAATATGCAAGATAGATTCCGGAGAGAAGAATTGTCTTGCACGACACAATGACCCAATTTTCTTACCAGATGAGCTAGCAATGGATTCAATATAGACTTACCACTTCATACCAATTGAGAATGGCAGACTAAGAAGGCGCAAGCCATTCTCATAGATGTTAGTATCATACATGCCGATAGGAGGCAAGAAAGGGTCTTTTAGATGAGTTAGAAACATCTTCATATCTGGTAATCTCGCCTGATTGGACGTTTTACGATTAAGGATGTTCCCAAGTTTCCAGATGTGAGTTCCAAGTCGCCTTGGCTGCCTTTTCCTTAAAACTTAAAAAAAAAAAAACTTTAGACATCAAGCCATATTATTTTTTGGCACTGCTCCCGCTTTTGAACAAAGGTGTACATTGTTTCGGTCCCTGGAGCGGTGGGTGGGGGAAGCCCACTTGGTTAGGGTAAGACGACTGATAAGGAAAGCTGTTGTACTGAACCGGATATTTACGGTAGCCAATACTAATTTTCCAAGGCAGTCAATTAAGGCCAATTAATCTGCTCAATCAGCACTCTCTAGGGTGATCGATTTAAAAATCGATTACGAGGTTATGTGGAAGGCGGGGAGGATATATTCTTTATTTTGCAACATTTCCCCTATACTCTAATCTGTCGCAATTTTTTTGGCAAATATTCTTCATTTTGCAACATCTATACAGACTACTCTATCGCAATTTCTTTGGCATATATTCTTCATTTTGCAACATCTACACCACTGACTATTCTATCACAATTTCTTTGGCAAATATTCTTCATTTTGCAACATCTTCTCTACAGAGAACTTTATTACTATTTTCTTGGCAAATATTCTTCATTTTGCAACATCTTCTCTACAGACTACTCTATCGCTATTTTCCTTGGCAAATATTCCGCTGCGTCAACTCCACTTTTTCGGATCTTTACAACCAGGATATACCAATTTACATGATTACCAAAAAGTCCTTGTCGTTTTTGATTTATTAGTTAAAAAGTTATACAGCAGACTTGACATACATTTCATCCTCAGGGTAATCCCCATCGGCATCCAGAACCTTTTGCCAGCCTGTCCCTAACTGCGCAATACCCTGGGGGTCAAAATCAGAAGTTTAGGACGCAATGAAGATTGTGAGTGTCTACCGCAAGTCTTCTTCTTTTGTGAATGGTTTCCTACGAAGATGGTTGTCCAGGAAATGCAAGAAGTGGCAATTCGTTGGAGAAATATCCGGTGAGTAAGATGAATGGCACAGTGTTTCTCAGGCTAGTCACCGTATGGTATCCTTGGTCATCCCCACCACATGAGGACTGACATAATCATGAAGGAACAGTACAATTATGCGACTGATTAATGCTGGATCCTTTTGCTTCAGTGCGTGTGGCATACATTCCAAGTGCAGCTTGTACAGGTCCGCAGTGATAGTTTGGCCCGTTGGTACCAGCGTATAGTGCACTCTTTGTCGACTCGTCCACCAGATACAGAGTATGATCTTGCTTGGTTGTAGAGTTGGACTTGTGGTGTCAGGCACAGAGTCCCGTGATAACAACCAATGTCTGGCACGCTTGAGAGTGTCAGACAGAACCCACTTTTCGTCACTGGTGAGCACTTGATCAGTTATGGGTGTTTGCGGTACTGAGGAGGCAACGAAAATTAGGCTGTCACTCGTTGTTGCTTGTTAGCTTCAGATCATGTGTGGGGCACACACTTGTCCAGCTTGTACTTCTGGAAGCTTTCCGTAAGCTCACCACAATTTAGGCTGTTTTACTCCGCTATGGCCGCTTTCAGGGCCACATCATCTAGAATCAGTGGCCGGCCACTGCAGGTATTTGCAGCTCAAATACTTTCTTATATAATTAACGCCAGTAATTAGCACTTTTATGTCACGATAAAAATAACAATGTCTTTCTTTCTTTCCAGTACCGACGGGAGTTTCCTTCCTAACTTTTTATTTGGAGTCATGTGGAATGACAACATCCTTGTGATGTCAAGTATTTTTGTCTTCGAGTTAAATGTGATATCTATTTTTGCTCTTCCTGCTATTGAAAGTTCTCGGAATTTTTTTCATTTGGTACAGTTCTTTGCGATTCTGGAGCGCCAATCCACATGTTTGACCAAAACCCATAGGCTTCACTCACTCAATGGCATTTTTAACCATTGATCTTAGAAAGCGTTAGTATAGAGATGACAGTTTAGAAATGTAATATCTGTTCACAAATTCAATGGATCTATCCTACATTTGACGAGTGAATCTCTACGAAATTTCATGTCGGAGGATAAGTCTTTGAATTATTTATACAACACACACACACACACACACACACACACACACACACACACACAGAGCTAGAGAGCGAAATATATACAGGCACACGGGGTTACACACACATACATATATATATACGTAATGTATATGTTCCTATGCGTGGGTTTAATTTTTTCTCCGTTCAAAACGAGAGAAAATTCTTTGGCTGGAACCTGCGCAGTTTTAATGCACAGAAGGCACGTGCTCATTCTGTTCGACTTAGCGCTCCTTTCCATTTCTCAATTATGTCATTTGTCTTGTTTGTTTCAGCGTGCACATACGTATAGGCGTTGTCTAGATCTGAGCCTAAGGGGTGCGAGTGGGGGGAATTTTTATTGGTTCGTTCCGCCGATAAAAATCCCAATTTTACGTCGATCGTTGGTGGTGGCAGAGTCTGAAACTCTAATCAAGTCTCAGATTCGTTTTGTTATGCGTTGCAAAGAAGCGCTGTCCAACCTCTCGAGATTTGAGGACATTCTAAATTGGGTTAGCACCGGGCTCAAGTTTTCTCTGGGAGCCTACACCCAAATAATGCAACATTGTTTGCTCTTTTTTTTTCCTAGTTTTATTCTTTCGATCTTTTTTTCATGTCTTTCTTTCAATTCTTGTTTGCCATTTTTATTTCTTTTATACACCGTACATTATTTTTTTTTTGTAATTTTTCCCTTTTGTTTATTTCTTTCTTAATTTTTTTTTCTTTCTTATTTCCATCTCAGATTCTTTTTTTCTAGTGCCTTTTCTACATTTCCTCTTTCTTTCTTTCTTTCTTTCTTTCTTTCTTTCTTTACTTTGTCTTTTTTTTTTATATCTCTGAAATTCTTTGTTTAAGTTCTTCACATAATCCATTTTCCCTCTTTGTTCTTTCTTTTACTTTCTTGTTTCTTTCTTAAATTGTTTTTCCAATTTCTCGCTTTGACCCATCTTTCTTTCTTTTCTTTCTTTCTTTCTTTCTTTTCTTTCTTTCTTTCTTTCTTTCTTTTCCTATTTTTTCTTATTTCTTTTCCCACGTCTGCTTTCTTATCCCTTTTACTTTTCTTTATATCACATATTCTTTTTTACAATGGCTTTCGATTACTATCCCTTTTTTCTTTCTTTTTTTTCTTCTTTCTTTCTTTCTTTCTTTCTTTCTTTCTTTCTTATTTTCGTTCGTTCGTTCTATGGTTGCCTTTCCTATTTTTTCTTATTTCTTTTCCTACGTCAGCTTTCTTTTATTTGTTATGTTTCCTATTTCTTATTATTTCTTTTCCCTCTTAAGTTTTCTTTCTTTCTTTCTTTCTTTCTTTCTTTCTTTCTTTCTTTCTTTTCCTATTTTTTCTTATTTCTTTTCCCACGTCTGCTTTCTTTCTTTCTTCGTTATCTTTCCTATTTCTTATTATTTCTTTTTCCTCGTATGTTTTCTTTCTTTTCTTTCTTTCTTTTCTTTCTTTCTTTCTTTCTTTCTTTCATTCTTTCTTTCTTTCTTTCTTTATTCTATTTCACTTTTCTCTCCTTATATCTCAAATTTATTTTTAGAATGTCCTTGCATCATTTTCCTTTCTTTTTTTGGTCTTTCTTTCATTCTTCTCTTTCTATTTTCTTTTTTTCTTTCTATCTCAATTTCTTTTCATATTGAATTTCTTTTCCTCTTTCTAAATATCTGCTTGATACTTTCCTCCTTCTATGCATCTATCTATTTTTATTATCTTTCTTGCTAA